ATCACGAACGTACTTTGGCCACACGGTCTGTCCACACACTAGAAGCACACATATCACATGAAACCGCCAACGATCCCGCTCACCAGCCACGCGCCGCGTTTACGCCAGCATGTTTTTGCGCTCCCCAGTGGCACGGAGCCACACAAATGCATTTTCCACCAAGGCCGCGCAAATCCAATGGCACTGTGGCATCACGAACGTACTTTAGCCACACGGTCTGTCCACACACTAGAAGCACACATATCACAGGATACCGCCAATGATCCCGGTCACCAGCGACACGCCGCGTTTACGCCAGCATGTTTCGCACTACATTTGCACTACAAACTGGCCACTTCTGACTCCAGCTCCGAAAAGCTCTTTCCCGTACTACATTTGTACTACAAACTGGCCACTTCTGACTCCAGCTCCGAAAAGCTCTTTCCCACACCACATTTGCACTACAAACTGGCCACTTCTGAGTCCAGCTCCGAGAAGCTCCTTCCCGCCCTACATTTGCGCTACGAACTGGCCAGGTCTGAGTCCAGCTCCACAAGCGCAGTGCCAAGTCTCCAAAACGCGCGTTTCGCAGGAGACTTCCTCCAAAAGTGATGCGCCCAGTCTCCAAAACGAGCGTTTCGCACGAGACTTCCTCCAACAGTGAAGCGGCAAGTCTCCAAAACGAGCGTTTCGTACGAGACTTCCTCCAAAAGTGAAGCGGCAGGTCTCCAAAGCGAGCGTTTCGTACGAGACTTCCTCCAAAAGTGAAGCGGCAAGTCTCCAAAACGCACTCTCGCCTGCATTTCGCGCACTCGACATGCACGATCTCCGCAGAGGGTTGCGCAGGAACCGGACAAATCGCACTCTCGCCTGCATTTCGCGCACTCGACGCGCACATTCTCCGCAGAGAGTTGCGCGCGCATGGGACAAATCGCACTCTCGCCTGCATTTCGCGCACTCGACACACACGATCTCCGCAGAGGGTTGCGCCGGAACCGGAAAAATCGCACTCACGCCTGCATTTCGCGCACTCGACACGCACATTCTCCGCAGATGGTCGCGCGCGCACCGAACAAATCGCACTCTCGCCTGCATTTCGCGCACTCGACGCGCACGATCTCCGCAGAGGGTTGCGCGCGCACCGGACAGATCGCACTCTCGCCTGCGTTTCCCGCACTCGACCCGCACGATCTCTGCAGAGGGTTGCGCCGGAACCGGACAAATCGCACTCTCGCCTGCATTTCGCGCGCTCGACAAATCGCACTCTCGCATCCATTTCGCGCACTCGACACGCGCGATCTCCGCAGAGGGTTGCGCGCGGCCAGGACAAATCGCACTCTCGCCTGCGTTTCGCGCACTCGACGCGCGCGATCTCCGCAGAGGGTTGCATTTTCGGTTGACGCTGTTCGTCCCACCCTCCGCCTTTAAAGAGAAATTATAAAGTGGGAATGTTTTTCATCAGGATATCTCCCGTGAAAGTTTTCATACTCACACTTGTATACTTACACTTGCATGCTTACACTTGGATACTTACACTTGCATACTTGCTCTTGGACGCTTTCACTTGCAAACTTTCACTTGGATACTTCAGTGCCATTGTAAGTCTAGAAGTGTAAGTGTTCAAGTGTAAGTATAGAAGTGCAAGTGTTCAAGTGTAAGTATAGAAGTCTAAGTGTTCAAGTGATTTTCCGGAAGAACCCTTCGCAATGCTTCGGGAAAAATTGTAAAGCCTGGCACCTCCCTGTCAAAGGACCTGAATCGATCCGAAGGGATACGATGGAGGATGGTGCAAAGGAACGGAAATGGCATCCACCCCAGCGATGGCCTCCAACCTAGTAGCGATGGCCTGCACCCTAGTAGCGGTGGCCTCCACCCCATAGCGATGGCCTCCAACCGGTAATGATCCAAAAGCCTTAAGTGGCTATGTTCCCCTTAAGTTTTGAACATACAGTTTACTGCTGCAAAAGTCCGTTGTTTTACTGACATGTGGCTTTGCTGCCGACTATGCTAGTGCGCTGCTAATGCCCTCAAGAAACAAATGTGTTGCGACCAATGGTACCCAAAGAAACATGCATTTTCGAACCCGCCCAAATATTGGTTCTTTCCGCTCTCGGCAACAGCACTACAGGTTTTGTGCCAGGGCCTATTTTTTAAGGGAGGAGTGGGGTGAAGGTTTGTTGATACATTGCTGTTGTTATGTTCGTTGTGTTTTCTGTGCTGTTTGAGCCACCATAAAAGTTTTCCGCAAGCGACACTTTACTAAGTCATGGGAAAGCGCCCAAATCCCTTCGTGGGCCAGGCTCCCAAACCACCTGACAAATCAATATTTTGGAGTGGGAAGAATGTGCATCAGCGTAGTTGCCTGCAGCACCTCCCAACAATATTAGTTAAGTTGGCAGTCGTAAAAATCAGCCACACTGGCCATCGATTGGAAGGCTTTTGGTTGATACCCATGGTCAAGTTAAGGACCGTGATCTCACCGTCTCCATTGTCCAGAAACTGAGTCATCATCTTGTTTGGTACGCAGCACCCAAGCGCGGAGTAGCTGCACAGCTGCAGGGCGCCTAGGCGCCGTCAGTGTGGCGGTCCTCAAAAACCATTGCTCGCGTCGCCGCGAGGCTGTAGATGGTGTCGAAATGTTGAAGGCCATGCAAGTACGCTTTCAAGCAAATCGACAGGTGGTTGTCGGTTTCTGCTCAAAACAGGACAAGCCCAAAATTCATGGTGTCTATCCGGACTTGGAAGTTGGCACCAACGGCATTGATCAACCGTCCTCTGGCTCATAACTTGCAGCCGAGCTTGTGAGATGTAGTGCCCGATAGCCCAGGCTTTCACATGTGACTTCAGGTGTGTAGGCGCTTCACGCCATGCTTTGGCCACCAAAGTATACCTGGCTCTCACATCAGGCCAAGTCCAATCTGCAAGTTGCACTGCCGCTTTGTTTGCAGATTTCAAGAAACAAGACCATTGTTTTGCTCTCCAGGCATCGCGAAGGTAGTGATCCAAACGCTCGGTGTGGAAGTTGTGGAGGTGCACAGCAACGAAGTCCGGTGGAACATTGTCGTTCGCATCATTGGACAAATGGAGAGTGATCTGGGCCTGGTTGTGCTGCCAGTGCCACGACCCAACACATGTCCACCCCTGGCGACGGAGCCAGTGTTTGGTGACATGAATAGGGTCCTTGTGTGAGTTTGTTTGGCCACAAATCGCGCAAGCTGGATTGGGTGGCCGCTGCTTTGAGGGTACGCTTGGTCACATCGTGTCCAACACGGAAGGTGCTCCGCTGTTGACTTTGGTGGAGCCATAGGCCTTGGTCATCAAGAGCCGCAAAGGATTGAGGGCTTTTGTGGCCTCCAGTCTGGAGTAGGAAGGTGCTGCTGCAATAGCAAGGCCCGTAGCCCTAGCAAAGTGTGCTTTGGCTGCGCTGCTGTGTGGGAGCGTGAGGCTCCACTTCAAAGTTTGCGCGGCACGCTGAAGGTGCTTGGTCTCTTCAGGTGTGGGGCCGCTTGCGCGGCGGTTGGGTTGAGTGTATGTTCCCAAGATACGCATCCTGGGGTTAATGGAGCCCGGAACTTGGGCCTCATTGATAGCAACCTGCAGTTGTTCAGCAAATTGTTTGGGACCAAAGGCATTGTAGTCAGCCTTGCTGACGTTTTCACCGAGCTTCAATCGCGACGTCTCAACTTGCCACGCTCTAGCAATGGCCGTGCACGTGCTAAAGCGGTCATCAACAAAAATAGAGTTCTTTTGCGGGCCATAGACGGCGACAGGGAAGGCGTCCTGAATCCGCCTTCATGCTTCAGAGATTATGGCCAACAAGCCAATGGCGCTGGCAGAATCTCCTTGCGGTAAACACTTGGCTTGGTATGGCTGGTTGCTCACAAAGTTGGCTGTTGTGAGCCAACGTTGTTGTTGGCTCCAAGCCCGGGTGATAGCGCGCAGTACGGTGTGTGGAAATCCCATGCGCTGCATGGCGGCAATACTGTGTTGCCACGCTAGGCGATCGAAAGCTTTGGAAAGGTTGGCCCCGCCCGCATAGTGGAAACGCTCAACATTGTGGGTTTGGCAGAGAGTAGCTTCAACTGCTGCCAGGTTTGGTATCAATGCAGTGTGGATGCCTCGCCCTTGCAAGCACCCGTGTTGTTGGTCAGGCATGATCTGTTTGAACCAGGGTGCGAGTTGCTTGATCCGAATGGAGCTCCAGATTCGATACCACAAAGAACTAACACTAATAGGTCTGGTGGAGCTGATCTGGTTGGGTGGCTTACCTGGCTTGTTGATGCGCAGCTGCCGCCAGTGAGTGGTGCTGCTGGGCCAGTTGTGGCCGTGCTTGATATGGCCGTAGATCGTAACTATGTGCTGAAGGGCTGCTTCAAGGCAATGCGCGATCTCAGCTGCTTGCCATCCATCGAGTCCCGGTCCCGGCGCTTTGCCACTCAAGCGCTGGGCTGTGCGCCTGATGTCTTTGGTCTGGATGGCGTTCTTGCTCGGTTGGTCGCGGCCAAACTTCTTGCCAAAAGTGGTGGAGGTTATGTATAAGGTCGTCTCCGTGGTGGATAGTGCCGTTGTCGCCGCGGATGTAAGTCAGGGGGGCGGTGAACTTTGCGCGGCCCAGCCATTTCCACACGCAGTGGTCACTGTCTTTGAGACGCCGCCGCCATGTTGTGATCCGGGCTTGTTTCTGTTGTTCCTCCAAGGTCTGGATTTCGCGTTGAATCCAGTGAAATATGCGATCTTGGTTGGTTGATCGGACTAGGTGAGGACAGCCAAGCTCACGCAAGTTGCGTTGAAGATTGCGAAAAGAGGTGGCCGGATTGTCGGGCGCCGCCTGGGCGGCGCAATGACTCCCAGTATTCGATATGTCTTCGGTGCTGACGTCGCAATCGATGCCGAAATGTATGTTTGCGCTGCGGTGATGGTACCGTGTATATGTGCTGAGGGCCTGTCCCTTGCTCTGTCGTGTGGGCTGTTTAGGTCTGTCGGGTCGATCTGCAAATGCCTGCTGGTGCGCAGTTTGAAAGGTGCGACTCAGAGCCTGCATGAGTTCGTCCCATACTTTATCAATGTCAGTTGTTTATCATACTTTATCAGATCAGGGAAGGTGTAGCGCTGTCGTTCCCGCTGGGCGTTGAGTTGATGTTGCCAGTCAGCCGGGGTGGCGTGATCGCCGGGGATCGTGTCCAGAAACTGAGTTCATCATCATCATCATCATCATCATCCTGTTTGGTGCGCAGCGCCCAAGCGGGGAGTGGCTGCACAGGTTTGGCGCGCCTAAGCGCGCTCGGGGCGGCGGTCCGCGAGCACCGTGGCTCGCGCGTTCGCGAGGCTTTCGAACGTCGAAATTCGACGTGTGGGGCCACGCCAAAGTGCTTTCCAGCATGTCGATTGGCGGTCGGCGATCACAGCTCGGGATCGGACAGGTCCAAAACTCATGGCGTGTATCAGGACTGGGTTGGTGACACCAATGGCAAGGACCAGCGGGTCGCTGGGAGGTGACCTGAAGCCGTGCTTGTGATATGTAGTGCCCTATAGCCAGGGCCTTGACGTGTGATTTCGGGTGTGTTGGCGCGTCGCGCCAGGCTTTGCTAAAGCTGCAAGCTGCGCTGCGGCTCTGTTAGCTGACTTAAGGAGAGAGGCCCATTGGTGGGCCCGCCAAGCATCACGGAGGTGGTGGTCCAAAAGGTCACCAGTGTAGTTGTGGAAGCTGAAAACAACAAAGTCCGGAGGTGAACGGTCATCATCAATGCCGGACAGATTGAGGGTGGTTTGCGCCTGGCTATGTTGCCAGTGCCAAGGTCCATTTGCAGGTCCAACCATGTCGTCGGAGCCAGTGCTTGGCGACGTTGATGGGTCCTTGGGTTTGCTTAGACGGCCACGTGTCTCGCAAGCAGCGTTGCGTTGCTGCCGCTGTAAGTGTGCGCTTATTCACGGTGTGACCGACTCTGAAGTAAGGGTCCCCTGCGTGACCCGAAAGCAAACGGAACAAAGCTCCGCTGTCTGTTGATCTTTGTGGATCCGTAGATCCGGGCCATTGAGATCCGCAGTGGGTTAAGCTCTTTTGCTGCAGCCAACCTGGAGTATGAGGGCGCCGCCGCAATGGCAAGGCCCGTGGCTCGGGCAAAGGTGGCTTTTGCAAGGCTGCTGTGCGGAAGGAGAAGGCTCCATTTCAAGCTCTGCTTGGCTCGCTGAAGCTGTTTTGTTTCTTCGGTTGTGGGGCCGCTGGCGCGGCGGCTTGGCTGCGCGCAAGTGCCCAGGATGCGCATCCTGGGGTTGATTGTTCCCGGCACTCGTGCCACGTTGATGGCTGCCTGCAGCTCTTCAGTGTATTGTTTGGTGCCAAAGGCACTGAAGTCTGCTTGTCTGACATTTTCCCCGAGCTTAAGTCTGGAAGTCTCGGTGCGCCATGCTACGGCTAGCGCCAGAAACGGTCATCAACGAAGATGGAATGCCTCTGGGGCCATAGGTATCTGTTGGGAAGGCCGCTTGGATGTCGCCAGAAGTCCAATAGGACTGGCGGAATCCCCTTGCGCAAACCACTTGGATTTGTCGACTCTGTTTGGCCAAAGGCACGACGGCCCACTTGGGCAACACCAGCTGCAACCCCAAGGCCAAAAACGCCTGTCGGCCAAGTGGCTCGTGGGCCTCTCTGTAGACCAGCGCACCCCTCTCTGCGCCCAGCTTGGCTACCAGCCGGCGGAATGGCAAGCCATCCAGGACCAGGCCACTGATCTGTTGGCCAAAAGCACCAAGCACAAAAAGAGATATGCCTCTGACAAGGCTTACAACGATTTGCTTAAGGCCAAGCGCACCAACTGGCGCAAAGCCAACGGATTGTGCGCCGAAGCACAAAAATCCAGTGGAGCCACAAACAGACATACCATCTTCGCGCCCAACATTCGTCGCAACCTTGGCATTCAGGCAGGCATCGCTGCAGCAAAAGCCCAAGCACAAAGCGCCAACCACACTTCAAGTTCCAGCCACCCATCTACCAAGCCGATACAGACCAGTCCGCAGAGCACTTGGAACCTGCACCTCACCACATGTGGGGACGTTGAACGACAACCTGGGCCCACACCACACCTCACAGTCTGGCAGATTAATATCGCCACCACTTGCGAAAGGACATCCTTGATCACGCCATCCAGGAGCACGTTCAAGCCGTCCTGATGCAAGAAACTTGACTCAGCACTCTCGAAGTTGAACGTTTTAACAGCACCAACAAGCAATGGCAGATCTTCCATGTTGCTTCACCAGCCAACCACCAGCACGAGGCACCGAGGTGGTACTGCTGTCTTCTTGCGACGCACCATCCCGGCTGTTCTTGTCAAGGCCCACGCCGACCATTACGGGGAATGGCTTGATGTTGCTATTCGCGGCCTGCGCATTATCAGCGCCTATCGACGTTCCGGGATCAACAAACAACCTTGGACTGACCACCTTTGCGAGCACTTGGCTACTCCAGTGCTTGGTTTCTAGGCGGCGACTTCAACGGCACTCCTGTTCAGAATCCCCTGCTGCTATATGGACACTCACTCCATGCCCGGGCGATCTACCCCTGCCACCAACACGACGATGATCCTGAAGATCACTATACCCACTACCCTCCAACCTGAGCGGAGTTTCGTCCCCCCGCCTCGATGGACGCGCCGAGCGCGTTGACCCTTGAAGAGTGGCAACACCTCAGTGGCAAAGCGCCAGGACCTGACGGGTGGACGGCAGACGAATTACTGTCCCACTCCAGCCCTGGCATGTATCGTACAGATTTACAACCACATCGCGCAAGGTCAACCTTGGCCTCGCAGCACCACACACTGGCGGCAGCTGCACATCGCCAAACCAGGTAAACCACCCAATCAGTTATTCTATCCGGACCAAAGAGCTTGCATCATGGTTCAAACAGGTCATGCCTGACCAACAAAACACGGATGTCTTCAAGGACGGGGCATCCACATGGCACTGATCCCAAACATCGCTGCGGTTGAAGCCACCCTCAGCCGCAACCACAACGCCGAACCTTTCCGCTTTGCCGGCGGGGCTGACTTGTCAAAAGCTTTTGACCGCCTCGCTTGGCAACACGGTGCTGCGGCAATGCAGCGCATGGCGCTACCACCAAACATCCTGCACGCCATCTCCAGCGCATGGCACCAACAACAACGCTGGCTCACAACAGCCAACTTTGTTAGCAGCAGGCCTCACAGCACACAGTGCCTTCGGCGGGAACGCAATCCTGCAGCTTGTTTTGTTTGACATGGAGAACATCCTGTTGCGCGTCCTGAGGCGCCAGTTGCTGCATTTGTTTTGCCCGCAGAATGGCCCGTTTTGTGAGCTCCGCACGGCCTTGAGACGGACAATCTTGGAGCGTTTTGGAGTGTATGGTGGTAAGATGCTTGCGCCTCCAAAAAAGTCCCTTGGAATGGCCCTTCACCGGGATATCCTTGAGACAAAAAGGGCACCACCAGTTGAACCATTTGTTGTCAGCCGCTTTGAAATTTCTCTTTTTAGGACATCCAAAGGTAGGTGGCTTGTCAACTGGAGCTTGTGGTACGGTGCTGCTGCTGTGTTGTTGCAACAACGATTTTGTGAGTGGTGCGGCTGCACCGCTTTCGGCTGGTTGCGGAGGGCTGGGCTGTCCAACGTCCGGTGCAGGAGGCTTGTACACGTGGAACTTGTCCTCGGCTGTTTGTTTGTATTTAGGAGGTGGCTGCTTGAAATGTCGGTACTTGCGAACTGAAAGCCAGCGTGGGGTCGATGCTTTCAGAGTGTCGTGGCATAGCCTGCGTGTCCAAGTGTATGCCACAGTGGCCTTGGCCGTGTCAGGCGGTGGTCCGGGTCCAAAGTGGAAGTGGTGCGAGGTCCATCAACTTCCTGGGTAGGTGTGCCCTGACACGGTGGGCGTGCTGGTGAGTTCCGAGAAACTGGTTGGTGCACTGGGTACGAACGGTGCGCAGTGAAGGTGTTCCATCAGAGAGGGAAGGTGTGTGTGTGTGTAAAGTAAGTTCGGATTGTATGGGCTGAAGGGGTGCTAGCCCCTGCTGTGGAGTGCTTGCCGCTATACCTGTAAGGTCAATAACGAGGTTCTGGTCACGTGTGTCACGAAGCCAGCAGCCAGGCCACTTGCGAGGGTCTGGAGGAGTCAAGCAAGTGTAATGATCTTTTTTGAGAACCAAACAAGCGGGCTTGGCCTTCCTGGCTGCACAGGCGTAGCCCTCTTTGTTGTATTTCGGGGCGAAGCAACAACGAACCTTGCAGGGCCATGCCATCGATCCAAGTGGTTGGGAGCGCTTGCTGTTGGAGCCACTGATCCATGTCGAGTGGAGGTCGTGTGTGTGACCACATGTGTGGAGCCTCTTGTGGGTCAGGGGCCCAAGCTTCCTTGAAGCGTGCTTTGTGATGTTCCTCGCCAATGTGCAAAACGACCTGGGCGCGCAGTGTGGCCCCGGTGCGTGCTGCTTGTTCATGAGTGAGGATTGAGCCGTCATGTGCGTGTGCTTGAGCCTGCGCCATGGCACGGTGAGCGCAATCACCGTATATCGCGTCGTTTCCAGCCTTGCTCAACGCCTTCCAGGACATTACAAGGGAGCAGCTGGGAGGCTTTGGTTTGGGCGCCCTGGTCGGGCGCAGGAGCCGATGCGCTGGTCGGCTGCGGCGCTTCGGTGGATGTATCCTCGGCATCGTCGCGCTGCGAATGCGATTTCTGGTCACGTTTCGGTGCGCGGGACTTCTCACGGGCTGCGCTGGTGTGCTTTGGTGATTGGACGGATGACGCCTCATGCCCAGGCTTAGCGCGGTCCTGTGAGTTCTTGTTTATGTCACTGGAGGAAGACCGAGGCTGTTTTGTCTTTCAGCCTGGTCGTGGTGCCTGAAGTATTTCAAAGGGTTGCTGTGTGGGCCGTCCAGCTGGCGCGAGTAGCACTTGAATGCGGGCGTTGCTGTCAGCGTCACTGTATCGCCAGCTTTCCTGTTGCGCAAGTTTGTCAGGAGGTTGAGCTCTTTATAAGGAGCCACTGAGTTTGGCGGTTTTGAGTTCGGGAGGCCTGGATGTCAACGTGGGTCCATTGCTGTTGCGCGAGGAATGCGGAGATTTCCTTGGCCTCCCAGTTGTTGGGCGCACCCGTAAGGATGAGTTGATGTGATCGTGGTTGTTTGGCCTCTTCTGCACTTTGGAGGACGCCCAGATTGGACTGGCCTTGTTTTCTGTAAATCAAGGTGGTGTTTTTTTGTTGGGTCTCACGCAGACAGCGCTTGTGGTATTGCTCTGAACTTTCGTAGGCCTCCCGTGGAAAGCAGGAAATGGGCCTGTGTGTGCTGTGTTCCTCCTGTTTGTTTAGGAAGATGCCCCAGTACACTGTTGGCAACGTACTGATCAACGGCCTCTGTGGGCATCTTGATGAAACCAACCACCATTGGTTCGTCTTTGCGGTTCCTGGGAAGCATCCCAGCGCTGTGTGATTGTTGATAGTCAGTAGCTGTTGTTTGCTGCTGGTTGCTTTGCCATTGTTGAATGGCTTGGAGGAAGCAATCAGAAAGTGTTGTCGCTGTCTGTTGCCCTCGTCGGCGCTGATTGCGCTGTTGCGCTTCGACACGGCGGCGTTTGGTGGCTGCCGCCCCTTGAGCGTCGCCCTCCCAGTAGGTCCGGTCAAAAGTGGCCGGGGAGGTTTGGAACTGGTTTGTCTGGCGCGTGTGTAAGAGGCAACACTGGATTTGTGAATCCAGCGTGGCGCGCGGTGCTGTGAGAAAAAGGTCTGTATCTGTGACCCGAGGGCGCCGGCGCTTAAGGCGAGCACGTGAAGGGTGTCCATGACTCCACCACTGGAGTCGCCGGCGCTGCCTGTGCTGTCTGCGGCGGCGGTATGAAAGTCTTGCTGAAGCCACTCTAGTTTGTTCAACTCGGCGAGCTTGCCCACAAACTTGACGTGTCAAGCAAATCCGGTGAGAGGAAGAGTGGCGCTTAGCTGTATGCAAACCACATTTTTGTTTGGTTTTGGCTTTTTCCGCTCGAGTGAGCGAATTGGGGGATGATGAAGAACATCGATCCCAAACGAATCCACTGATTCCCAGGAAAACCACCCAGAGTAGGTGGTAGATTGGCTCAAAAGGTTCTGGCGCCTGGCTGCCAGGGATCAGTGTATAAGATAGCCCAAAAGAGCATCCAGGTCACGGATCGGTGTGTGGTGGTGTTCGTACTGGCTTTCCCAGCCCGCGGCTGCCGCGTGGAGGCCCCACCATCATAGATGCCGCTGTCCAGAAACTGAAGTAGTAGTAGTTTGCCACATTGCAGTAGTCGTTCACGGACTTGCTGCAGCTCCTCGCGGCGAGAGCCGGAGAAAGGTGAGTTTCAGTTGGCCGGGCGCCTCCTTCGGAGGATGGCCGCACGCATTGAGGCAAGTTCGTGTGTGAGGGTTTCGGCGCGCTCATCCCACGGCCACGCAAGCTTATCGATCAAAAAGCAAGTCGTCAGGGATGGCAGTGTTGCTGGTACGGACTGTCGCGCAGCGCCACTCGTGGTGTCTATCGCTTTGCGAAGCGCCACAAAAGAGGCACGGATGTGTGGGGCGTTCCGCGGTGACGTTGTATCGGGCTTGTGAGGCCATTGCCAGGAAGGCTGCCAGCATGTGTGGCTTGTGGTGCTGGGGAGCCCGGTTCAACGCCGCGCGTGCTTGGTGGCGCTGTCAAAGTGCCCGAAGTGCGAAAGTTGCGCCACTGGAGTGCTTTCCATGCATCCCTCAGGATGTGCTGTAGTTAGTGCGCAGGCTTTGCGCCAGGGTAGTGATGTGTGAAGTGTTGATATTGCTGGGGCCACTGTTGGCGCACCGGACCTTGGCAAGTCAAGGTGGTGTGTGCTGCCTTGTGCGCGAAGGTCCATGGGGCTACCACGGACCAGCCCTGTCGGGCAAGCCATCGGCGTG